TTTAAATTGAGACTTTTAAAAAAAATTAAGAAAAAGTTGTAAGTTGAAAATTTTAAATTCAGACTATCTAGAATATAGTTAGATAATTAATTATAAAAATTATAAAAAAATTTTAATATTAAATTAAATTATCTACATTAAATTTATATTGTTGATATTAATAATAAGATAGGTTTATTAAAATTTTATAAATTTTTATGAGCACCGTGCAGCAGCGAAGCCGGACTCCAATTAATAAGGAATGTTAACTGTTCGCAGACGAACAAGTCGTAAGGCTTTTGTCAGTGTCCGATCGCGGATAAGAGCATTCTGGAGATACCAAAACTCTCCGTATCTATGTGTCCAAAACACAAATACAAATCAAAGCTAAGGGAATCCAGCAAATGGTGCACATTAAAGATGAGTTAAAGCCAGAACCCTATAATTAACGGGCTACGAGGTTCTAATATATCTTTTTCTAATGTTTTTTATAATATCTCAACTTTTTAATTTTATTTTTTTTTGTCTTTAAAACATTGGTTTCTACATAAAATAAGAGACATTTGAATATCTTGATATCTCAAAATGATAAAGATTTGTATTTTTTATAATTTTTTTTAAATATCACAAATACACCCTTTTATTTTTTAAAATCATAAAAAAATAAAATTTTCACCATTTTGAGATATCAAGATATTTAAATGTTTTTTATTTTATGTAAAAGCTAATAATTTAAAAAAAAATAAAAAAATTAAAATTAAAAAATTAAAATATTATAAGAGGTATTAAAGAAGGGCGCTTCTAACTCTTAAGTAACCTTCACACACAGATGTGTACGATGTGGTTGACATCTGTCCGTGGACAAGCCACTTTCAACAATCTCCTGCTCGCGGACGTCAAGACAAACGAAGAGATCTTCAACACTCATGTGTCTGCGAACGAGCACGTCTGTTCGAGGGTACATTATCTTAACATGGGCACAGGGCAGCATTTAATTTAAATTTTGAATTAGATGTGAGGACTATCAGATAAGATATGGCGAGATTTAGATCAATCTAAGTGTAATATCACCTTCTACAATCATATACTTAACCACATTATCTTCCGGTTATTATGATAATTAAGGAAATGGCCACCCTAGCAGCCATGCATGCCATGGTAAATAAAACTTAATAACGGTTATAAAAATAACTAATCTAATAGAAAAGGTAAAGAGTTAATTTAGAGATCTATTATAGTTAAATAGTTTAAATCAAAGTAATTTGGATTACTACAGTAGAAAATCTGAAAACTCAAAATTGACAATAAGATTCTTTGGAAATAATGGGATTCCAAGTTTAATAATGGACATAAACTTCTTAAAGCAAGAAAGCCAATATATGAGTTACAGAATATATGAAAGTATAAGATATTAATTAAAATTAAAAAAACACTTGAAAATAGGGTTGATAGTGTCATTCCACAAATTCTAGACACATTCATCATGGCTCACAGGATGTTCATCACTATGCGTCCCTCGTTATACCATGGATTATGGTGCATTACATAGAACCACATCAGTGAATTTCTATCAATTGCATATGTGGGGGACTAAACTTTTGGCATGCTCTAAATTTTTGATCGAGCTCAATTGAAATGATCTAAATGTTCACACAAAATTTATTTAATATACTAGTTAATGAAATTAGTTTTATTTTAAAATAATATCATATCATGAAGTTGGATATCTGAAACCAAAACAACTACATCTTCATACTTAAACACTTTTAGGGTGTTCAAACTCCCAACCAAGTGTCTATAGCCCAAACCAACATTTAAATCACACTTAAGGGACTAAAGACAACTTGTACAATGTATCACAACATACCATAACATCAAGCAACCCAATTTCAATTTTCAACTCCATATTTAACTAAAAATAAATAGGGGACCATAATTCACAGAAAAAAGTAATAATCACACTTACAATAGTATTTTGATTTTACCTAAACAATAAAATTCACATAATACATCCTCTTACAACCAAATAATAAACATAATGAAAATGGTGCAAGTATGATAAAATGAACATTTTAGTTGGCAATATCATTTAAATTACACATATAAACTCAAAATAAACAAGCAGTACAACTAGAAACTCAGTCTTGTGCCTTTGATGCTTCCCCTTTGCCCTATCATGAATTGGCTCTTATAATATGTTAATAAAAAAAGGTAAGTATAACCACTTTATAATCAAGATACTTCAAATCATGCACAAGTAAGTCAATTAATCATAAGCATGCAAAGTAAACAAGATACACAATCATTCACATATTAAACATTCGTTTCATAATAATTAATAAATTGTACAACTAATAACCTCCTTCATGTCTTCCTCTTTTCTTCCAAGTCTAAGGGCTATGCTCATGTGAATGACCAATGGGTTTTTGAAGACATGATTATGACCCATGGGTTTTTAAATACACACTAAAAGGCCCAATGTTTTTGTGTCGGCATCTGAACGATTTCTATCTTCAAAATCATTTATTCTTGAGAAGTTTAATAATTAGCTAGATTTTGTATATATAGAAATTTTAATCGCCAAACAAGGATATTCCATTGAAAAAGAAACTGATCTAATTATATTAAGGAACATTTAATCACATGTGATCTGGAAAACAAACCATCATTAAAAAACGCAACTAGTGACATGAGAACGCACAGATTCTCTGAAACTATTATTGTATATTCGTCAACCCTTTTTCTGTCATTATTGAAAAAGCTTAAGATGAAGATAGGTTAAAAGAGCAAATTAATACCTAAATGTTTTGGATCATATATTTATTTTTGATATAATGTTTCCTTCAACTTTTAAAAATAGGATTATCTAATTCCTATTTGAGCAAAAGTTTCGACCATTATTTAATTAAAAAATCCCAAAATGATAAAAAAAATTATAGAAAATGACTCATAAATTTTCTTGGCCATATTTTTGGGTCATTGGCCATAATTTGAGTCCTTTACTTTTTTTTTGTTTTTTATTTTTGGTAATTTTTTGATCTTTTTTTATTAATGTCTAATTAACTAGTTAAAGTTAACTTTTGTTAATAATAGAGATTAAATTATGCCGTTTTAAAAATTGAAGGGAAATATGAAAAAAAAAATTAATTTAGTGTCCGAGATGCTCTTGAACCATAAAAATATGACATTAGGAATTGGCGTTTTAGATAGACAAAACCAATCTTCACAAATATTGTACTGAATACTTGCAGCTGCATTAACATCCCAGACAAACCATATTGAACAATGAAATGATATCAAATGGAATGATTTAAGAACTGAATTGAATTATTTTAGCAACAAGAAGGAGGAAAAGAAAATAAACTCTCATTCAAATAAAACAGAAACATAGTTTAAAAAAATATATATCACAGCCCATTGATCTATTACCTCAACAAGAAATCGTTCTCGGTATACAACATAAGCTTTTGGAACAGAGGACCCCAGCAACATAAAGTCGATCCATCAAACGATTAAACCATCGGAAAAATTTGTGTCTCCATGCCCTGATGAGAAAGAGAGAACCACAAACTCCCCAGAAGCCCGCTGCAAATCCAACTCCCATCCCGAGGTACAATGACTTTAAAAAAAAGTCATCTTCATTCACTTCAGCCTGATTCGAGTTGTTAGTTTCTTCTTTCTTATTGCACCTCTTTGGAAGAGGATCTCCACAAAGTCCAAGATTGCCAACAAAGCTCCAAGAATCAAAACTTTGAATTTGAGTCCCCAGTGGGATTTGCCCAACAAAATTGTTGTATGATAGGTTCAGATAATCGAGAAAAGACAAGTTAGAAATGGCTGGAGGAATTTCTCCCGAAAGTTTATTGCAACTAAGATCAAAAGATTCTAAGTTTTTCATACCTCCAATTTCTCTGGGAATCTTTCCTCTTAAGTGGTTTCGAGACAAGTTTAAGGACCACATTTGAATCAAACTAAACAATTCCTTAGGAATCTCTCCAGAAAAGTTGTTCGCAGAAAGATCAATCAATCGCAATAATTCAACGTCTTTATAATCTAGTTCTCTTCCTTTAGCAGATAGCTTTATTACCTTCAACCACAACGATGCATTAATTGGATGCATGATGTTATTTAGACAACTAGGTATTGAGCCTGAAAGCGTATTATCAGCAAGATCAAGTATTGCCAAAGAAGAGAGATTGCACAAGTGTGTTGGAATGTTGCCTGTAAATTGGTTGGCCCTCAATTTGATAACTACCAAGTTTTGTGGCAGTGTAGGCAAAATTCCGGAAAATTTATTTCCTTCTAGAAGGAGATATTGCAAATTTTTCCAGTTTGACAAGTCTAATGAAAACTTGCCAAGGAAATTGTTACTGCTCAAATCCAAGTATGCAAGAAAATTCAATGAAGCAATTGATGGAGGAACTTCACCAGTCAGCTTATTACTCCCCAAATCAAGGTATATTAATTGTTCCCAATATTTGGCCCAACAATTAGGAAGTGTTCCACCTAAATGATTATATGATAGGTCCAAAGTAGCCAAACTGTACTTTTCCCTACTAATAATCTTTGAATGGCACAACAATGGGAAAATAGATCCGGAGAAAGAGTTGTGAGATGCCCAAAAGTTGACAACATTTGATGATATATGTGGGAGGCCACCTGTGAAACTGTTATACTCTAAATTTATAATGTTGAGTTTAGTGTCAAGGGGGATATGTCTCCACTCATCAAGTTGTATGATAGATTGACATTATCGATTCTTGCAACAAAGCTCCAAAACATATCTGTGTCATCTATGGTTGAAATTCCTGATCCAGAAATGTCTAGCCATCTCAGTGACCGTTGTGTATATAGCCAAGCGGGAATAGTAGGACCTAGACTTGTGTTTCTCAACTCAAAATATTCAAGTTGAAACGGCGGGACCCAGTTAGGATCAATGTGGAATTTGAAACCAGATGAACTCAAATATAATGATGTTAAGTTTGAGAGATTGGCAAAGTTCTTTTCTGAGAGAACACCCTTCAAGGATTGTCTTCAATGCTTAAATGGTTCAAGTTATGGAGATGTCCAAGACTTTCTGGAAGACCCCCACTCAATTGATTGTTTGACAAATCCAAGAAAATTAACGAACAAAGATTCCCAAGAGATGGTGGAATTGAACCATTGAATGAATTTTCACGGAGAAAAAGATGTTGTAACTGTTCATGTTGGCCTATCAAGTCTGGAATTGACCCCTTGATACTATTAAAGCTCAAGCTTAGTTGTTTTAGCTTTGGAAGCTTGAACAAAGACATTGGTACTTTTCCATAAAAACCATTGTGGCTGAGGTCAAGAACAGAGATGTCATTGGTTAAATTAAATAACGAATATGGTAATTCTGAGTTGAGAAGATTGAAAGAAAGATCAAGAGTTGAAAGAGATGTAAAGTTGACATAACTGATGCGTGGAAAATCTCTCAATCCACAACTTCTCAAGTGTAACTCAGATAGTGAAGGAAGCATAGCTACAAACTCGAGCCATTTGGTTTCATTTTCAATATCACAGTCATTCAGATCAAGATAATTTAAGGAAGAAAGTCCAGAAAGCCAACGAAGATCATTGATGGGCAAATCATAATTAGATGAAAAGTCAAGGTAACGTAAAGCAGCAGAAAGATTTGCTGATTGATCATCAGAAGAAGATCTAGAGGGCTGGCACGGTGGAATACTCACAGTTACAAATTCATTATGGTGCAAGTCCAAGTAGTTGAGAAATTCAAGTTGAAGTACTAGACATAGATTAATATCACCTTGTAATAGCTGACCAGCTAGATCAAGTTCTGTAACTCTGCCTGTAATGTTGTCACACTGAACTCCTATCCATGAACAACAATCTTCTTCTTCACTAGTCCATGAGAAGAGTCGATTTGCAGGATCTATCACTCCTTGTTTGAAGAGCAAAAGGAGTCTTCGATCTTTCTCATTGCAACGAACCGCCTTGTTTGTGTTACATATGATTTTGTTAAATTTTGTTGTGAATAGAAGCAACGGTATGATAATAAATGAAGTTTGAGAAGTGAAGCTAGAGTGAACACAATTAATGAAGCATTTTATTTGGTATATATAGTATGTCTTCAGGAAAATATTAGAAAAGCAGAGGCGAAACGGAAGTGTGAATGCCTAAACAGTATCATAATAATTTTCAAGTCTTACATCATAATCTTCGATTTATTTTCAACTTTTTCGGTCTTTTCAATGGAAAGGATCTCATAAAGGAATTCATTTTCAAATCGTTTGAACGCTTCAAAATATAGATATCGTCTAAACAACCACTGAATTTTTCAAGTACATTCCACTATATTTATCCTAATTTATAAAATATTTTCAAATAAAATTACATATACCAATAAAACTTATTAAATATAATTTCCAACTTTATTTTCTTAAATCAAAATATAAATTTTAAAAAATACCCTTCATTAAATACTACATTTGTGAAAGAATATAATTAGAAGGATTATTTTAGAAAAATATCATTAATAAAATCTTATTTTTTTATTAAAATATTTTATATTTTGAAATGCCAAATCTCTCTGAAAGGCCAAAAGTGTCTCATAAATCTGGACAAAAGAAGTATTATATACAACAAAATCATTCATTTCAAATTCTACACATGAGGATATTATATGTGGAAATAATACAATAGATGAAATTTGTGAAGTGAAACTTGCTGGCCCGTTAATTAAATTGAATAGAATGAATTCAATGAAGAATGGTCATGGTGTATTATAAGCTATGAAAATTATTGTAAAAGAAAGTGTTGCTTGAGAATATTATTGGAAAATCAAATGTAAATAAGCATTTAAATGCCCAAAACAATATCTATAACCACATCTCATTGTTTAAAGTCAAGTTTTCTAGTACATATGCAAACATTTTCACACATCATTTTCCATATTATATAACTGTCAAAAGATCGCTGACTTGTTTTTCATTCAGGTCATGGAGGATTTTTTATTCGATGAAGAAAGGGATCCGTTTAAATTATTGGAGCAAACAAATAAATAAGTGCAATCGCAAATATACAAAATTGACTTGTCCCAAAACACTTATATAATTAGTATTTATATTTAAAATCATTGTGTATATAATAAGGTTGATCAATTCAACCGTTGGTTGCGATTCTTTTTCAATCAAAGTGAATAATAATTTCGCAATATTTCCTTCCTCGTCCCAAAACGCCAATTCTGACTTGGCAAGCAAAACTAATGGATTGCTATACTCATTTGACCCTATTTATAAATTACTTTCAACATATTTCATCAGCATTAAAAAAATCTTAAAATTTTTTAATTTTGTTTTAAAATTTAAGAAATTCTCAACTTTACTTCTATTAAATATACATACTTCAATAACATATTTTCTCTCTCCAATATTCAATGGAGGGTAAAAAAATTTATAATAAAAATTTAATAACATGACTCATAAATAGGATTAAAGAGAGTATATGTAGTTTAATTTGTTTTTAGTTTTTATTTTGATCACTTAATAGCTCTGTCTAGGAAATTGATAGATTGACTCTTTTTTTTCCTGTATTACTTAATTTGTTATCATCTCTATGGATTTTTCTTAGGAGAAAAAGATGTTGCCAATTTCGTCAAACTTCATTTTCTACAAAATCGCATTAAGCAATCGCAGAATGCTGTTTCAAGTCTCTCAGTTCTTTTCCAGGAAACTTCATAACTTTCCAACTGTGATATCCTTCGAAGTTACATGACCAAATTGCTTGAATGCTTCGAAAATAATTTCCACAGTAAAAAACACACACAAACACGCAATCAAAAGTTTCAGATATTAGGTTTGGCATGAATTAATCAATTGAATAAATTATTAGGTGTGGGTTTTTTGGTTAGTGTCTTGAATAGTTATGATGAGATTTGAAGTTCTAAGTCTTGCTTTGTCATGCAGTTACAAACCAATTTCTAATAATAGGTGCGGTTTGACATTAATTGAATCGGTGTGGTTTAATTCTTGGGAAAATGTTGGCAAAAAAAAAAATCTTGAGAAAATGACAAAAAAAAGAGGACATAATTTAGATACTTAGTCTTATATATTTAATATAATTTTATCTAATCAAATCAAAATAAATAAATTTTACTGTGTTAATAATATTAATAATAAGAGTTTATTATACAATAAATAATTTGTAAAAAATTCACATATCTTAATTTAATTAAAAACAAACACCTTAAACATATAAACAACATATCCCTAAACTATGTCAGACAATAACCCAATCAAAGTAGTTATTTCCCAACGCATAATAGTTGTTGAGAGCAAATATGTTATTTTGTCAAAATTCAAAATGCCAGACAAACCTCCAAGGACAAAGTAATAATTATCACATTTTGTTGTACTATATTATTATTTTCATATTTCGGGGACATGTTTTTATCATTATCCCTTAATTTTCCTCTACTGTTCAATATTTAATTAAGTGTTCTGTTTGTTTGATAAACTCAATAGTTAAGCGTTATATCGGTCATTCTCTTATTAATTATTCACCTTATAAAGACCAATTTCGATTGCTTTACAGTAATTCATACATTATAATTTTTTGACCAAAAGTATTCATGTATTATAATTTAATAATAAATTGAAGGTCATTATTACCCTTCAATTATTCACTTAGACATATTTGGCATCCTAAACTTCACTTTAGTTCAATGGTTCCTCAAACATTTAAAAGTGAAGCAGTTTAACTCTTGCCATAAAAAAGGAACTGTACGAAAGTCTAAAGATAAATAATATCTCATAATTCAATAAAGGTCCCGTAGCAGCTAAAGATGCCTTCCACCATTACCAACCCACCAGTTTCGGTGTTTGCACGGATAATAACCATAACTCTATAAAAAATTTTGTTATTTTATTTTTTTAATATTTATTAATAATTTTATAATATGAGAAGAAAAAACATTTGACATAGTAATTACGCATTTTACGGGATAAAAAAAAGTGAGTTTGGTTTAAGAAAGGGGGAGAGTGATAAGTGGTCTTTTTTTTTTTGGTTGCCTGAGGTAATCCTACAACCGACAACATGAGATTAATCCCCCAAAGAATTAGAATATCATTTAAGAGGTTTTTCTTTTTCAAGTAATATTTTTCTATACTTGCTTCCAAAAATCAAATGATGGAATAATGCTTAATAGGCCCAAATTGTTATTATGTGTACCACATCTACTTGGCGATAAGTGGTCATTTTAATAACCGTGATTTTATATGTATTTTTTTCCCTTTTATTACCTGAATAATACACAAAATAAGCTTAAATAAGAATAAAATACCTCACTTGTTGGTTTCGTGTTTGTTTACAGAGAAAAGGAGCAAAATAACATAAATTGAGCTAAACACGTAATGGATTTGATGGAGGGCCCAAAAAGGAATATGTTCATAGATAAAATCGGCCGAAGAACCACCTGTTCATGGACACAAATGGAAGAGAAGGCCTATCACACCTGCCTATGTCCGCTCGCGGACAATTAATGAAGGAATGTAAAAGTGTACAGAATAATAAATTCAGACTATTTTGAATTAAATTTAAAAGAAGATAGTGATATTTATTATTATTTAAGAAAACAGAAAAATATTTTTGAAAAGGATTTAATAATTAAATAAAGCAAATAAAGGAGAAAAGTGAGTAATCGATCAACCAACCAATTAAACAAGCACTAAAATTTAGTTATTTATCATTTTTTTTTTGTAATGACAACGATTTCTAAGATTTCTTAATCTTCTAATATATTAAGATGTATTTAATTAAAGTTAAATTTAGCTTCTATTAAATTCTACTCTTTAATTAAATCATAAATTTACGATCTAAGCCACTACAGACTCTTAAATTATTCCTAATCTAGTTATCTACACCTATATCTCTAAGTCTAGATGAGTTTTTCACCTTCCAATTTATCAAACTACTTACAAAACAATTTATATAGTAGCCATCTATATATATATATAAGAAATTTGAGAAAGATAAATAGAAAAGCAAATGAATAAACTTTATAGACAAATTATATTGTTCAACAAGAAAAAAAAAAATCCAACCATATAAAAGAGCAAAACCATCCCAATCAGGCTATTCCTTACCTAATTGAGAGTTTAGGAAGAACTCATAGTTTATTGCAAAACATCCTAATGAAAGACATAAAAAAAAAATTAGAGAAAAAGAAAAGAGATAAATTCCCAACTTGGAAGAACTCTTTCAAACTTCATAATACACCTCCTAGAGAGTTTTAGGAGGTTTGTGTACAATAAATTTGACTCCCTAGTCTTAGAATCAATCCAAATCATGCCTTATCTCATTAGATATACTAATATATGGTTTAACATGATTTAAAATAACAATTTTTTTTTTTTTTGCATTTTTCTCTTCGTTCACCTCTGGTCATGCATTGAGTAATTTCACTCACCCCTAGTTGAAATCATTTTTCTTCGTCCGCCCCTAGTTGAAATTTATGGAACTGAATTTTCTTGTTTTAAATTTATGTTTCGATCCGTTTTTTTTTTTTTTAACTTAGTGAGGCTATATAAATCATTTTTTCCTCATTTCATCACATTAATTGATACAATTAAATCTAAAAGTCTCCAAAAATTACGTCAATAATGGATTTATCAGGATGCTGACCGTTCGCTGACAAAGACGTCTGAGTTTTACACCCTGATAAGAAGTCTCAAGTAAAGAGATGTGGGAAAGATATAGAATGACAAGTTTAAAACATCTGCTAAAACGTTATCACCAAAATGGGCCTCAGTTTACTTACTGGAGGAGAAAGCCCAAGCCTGATACCACACACACACACACTCTTTTGGTCCTATTCATAGGCAGATAGGTGCCTTTATCTCATTTATAAGTCACCTCAATAATTATTATGTCAATTTTTATTATTTTATCTCTATTAAATATTGAAAATATTATTAAATGGTAGAGCATTTTATCTTTAAAATATGCATTTAATAGAGGTAAAGTTGTGAATTTGTTAATGAAGTTTAAAGTTTTTCTTGAGATTAGTAATAATGATGGAAATAATTTATAAATAGGAGTAAAGGAATATATATATATATAAGGGCAATTAGGGAATTTAATTGTAGGAGAGAGAAAGGTAAGGAAGATTTTGGCATCGTTTTCTTTGTCCCTATCCCAACTGAAAGTTCTGCGAAGACATCTTGACGCGTTTGGACCTGGTTGCTTCTACGAAGCTCCTACGCGGTTAGAACTAAATTAATTACCAGGATATTGTTGAAAGAAATTAAATATGTGAGTATATGTGATATGAAGATGTATAGAATATTCACGAGAATATATATGTATGTATGTATGTATCATATTAAAATGTTATGCATATAAAACTACAAGATGTTAAGGATTAATTTTTCCCCGTTCGTTAACTAACGCGTTGAAATGTTAATTAAGAACGGAATATTACTAACAATATTCTTGGGGATTTCACTGTTTTGGTCAATGCAAGGTATATATGATATTAAGAATGGAAGCCATCTGTCAGTGAATAGATCTGTTGCTAATGGAGACATTAATTTCTGCATCAGCTGCGTCTTGAAGAGACAGTAAGGTATGAACACGAATATCTCTCTTCATCCTCACAGATTTCATAATATTACTTCTTGTAAAGCCTTGGCTTTGTGTTGCTGCTATCTTCCATGTTTGAAGGGTTTTATTTTTGGAGCCAAATTTCTTTTATAATTTCGTCTTGATTGTTATTCTTCTTTTCTCCAATTTCTTTGTTATTAGAACGGTTCAGTTTCCAAAGTCTTGCAATGGCACATGATGCTGATGGATTTAGGCATTCTTCAAGAATTTCTGGTTCAACTCTGAGATGGAAATATCACGTGTTTTTGAGTTTTCGAGGAGAAGATACTCGTACAAGTTTTGCAGATCATTTATATGTTACTTTGCAACACAAGGACTTATAACTTTTAGAGACGAGGAACAACTTGAAAAGGGAGGAGCAATTAAAGAAAATCTACTCCAAGCAATTGAAGAATCTTTTTCTGCAGTTATTGTGCTCTCCCCGAATTATGCTTCTTTATCATGGTGCTTGGATGAACTCCTAAAGATTCTTGACTCTAAGAAAAAGTTGGATCTTCAAGTATTTCCAATCTTTTACGGTGTAGATCCGTCTGATGTTCGATGTCAAAAGGGAAGTTTTGCAGAAGCATTCAAAAAGCATGAAGAAACACGAGAAAATGAAGGTGCAGAGATGGAAGGATGCATTAGAAGAAGTTCCTAACTTAGCTCGTTGGAACTCTAAAAATTGGTAATTTCTACAACTCCAAACAATTATCTTGACTTTATTTTTAAGAAGTATTAGAAGTCTGGGCATTCATATCCATATATGAACTCCAAATTAACAAATACCATAAGGATATCATTTTACATAAAGATAATACACCCCTTTACATGTCTTTTGAAAATCGATCGAGGATTATTTTATGTGCTATATATATATATATATATTTAGATATATCAATTAAAACAACTTTCATAATTGATTATTTCGTTTGAAAAAAATACTTATTTGGTATGTTAAAATTCCTAACAATTACATGCATTCCTCTTGAAGTTTTTCAATCTAATCCTTTCACAGCATGTTATTCAAATTTATACATATACCTTCTTTTTAGTAATAATTGGGTTCCACAAAATTTATTCTTTTCAATTAGAAATATAACTATTTAACTAATATCAAATTATAGTAATTAAGGAATTATGATTATATAAATGTTAATTTTAGTTTTTGGTTAAGCTAAATCAATGTTAAGTTTATGACCATATTTCCTTTATATTTCACTCTAATTATGTATATAATTTATGAGTAAAATTTTTAAATTCAGTTGACTTGATTATTTATCTTATTATTTAATTTTCCCACGCAGGCATGAAACAGAACTCATAAAAAGTGTTGCGGAGAAAGTGTGGACAAAATTACATAATGAATTGCCAATTGACAATGATATATTAGTCGGGATTGAATCAAAGATAGCAAAATTGGATTCAATAATCTCCAATGGATTGGAAGAAGTTCGATTCATAGGAATATGGGGTATGGGAGCGTTAGGTAAAACCACTCCCACGAGAGTTGTTTATGAGCAAATACACAAAAGCTTTGAAGTTCATTGCTTTCTTCTAGATGTTAGAGAGGCATCTGAAAAAGATGGCTTGATTTCCTTGCAAAGAAAACTTCTTTCTTATTTAAATTTAAGAAGTGAGGAATTGGATGATTGTTATGATGGAAGGAAGTTGATAAAAAACGTCTTATGCAATAGAAAAGTTCTGCTCGTCCTTGATGATGTGAGTAATACAGATCAACTTGAGAATTTAGCAGGAAAGCAAGGATGGTTCGGTCAAGGGAGTGGAATTATAATAACAACTAGAGATAGAGATATACATTTTGTTATCATTGCATGGTGTCTCTACTCAATATGAAATCAAAACCTTAAGTGATGATGAATGTCATTTGGAGTTTTCTAGAAGTATGATTGAATATGCTAGAGGTCTTCCTTTAGCACTTAAAGTGTTGGGTTCATTTTTTAGTGTGGAAAAACTATATCAGAATGGAAAGATGCAATGGCTAAGTTCAAGAAGATTCCTCCACATGACATTATGAAGATACTTAAAGTGAGTTTTGATGGGTTAGAAGGTGATGAGAAGACTATATTTTTAAATATTGCTTGCTTTTTTAATGGGATGGACAAAGACATTGCGATGCAAATCTCACAAAATTGTGATCTTCACCCAAAAATTGGGATAAAAGTTATAATTTATGATAAAGAGGTTTTCCAGGTGCATGATATGCTTCAAGAAATGGGTAAGAATATAGTTTTTCAAGAATCACCTAATGATGTTGGTAAACGTAATAGGATATGGTCTTTGGAGGATGCTAGTCATGTACTGGAAAATAAGGTATGCTCCAAAATTCCTGTGACATGAACTATATATTTTGGTGGTGTTTGAATTGATAAATTTGAATTTAAAATCCTTTGTTTAGATAGCGTAAAAAAAATTTAAAGGTAATAGAGAGATAAATTGAGATTTGAAGGAGAAATGGATTATTAGAAGTGACAAGCTTATTTCTATTTTTCAACCAATGAAAGATGAAAATGAAAAAGATGATGAGTGGCAAGCCTAATAAAGGCACTGATAGTAAAAATATGAAGAAAACAAGAAGGTTAAAGTAGATAAAATTTCAAATAATTAGGATCTAAAAGGAGTTTGAAATTACAAAGTTATAATAAAATATGGATTTAGATTTGAATTTGATAGACTTTTAAATATCTAAATGGAGGATTTGGTTTAAATCCAAATTCTTATACATCCAAATTCACCACTAATTATTTGTTTCATGTATTTTATGTAGCGTTAGATTGAATATAATGATTATTTTATAAACAGAGCACAGAAGCAATTAGAGGCATAGTTTTAAGATTAGACAAATCATGTGACTTATATTGGGACCATGATGCGTTTTCAAAGATGAGTAACCTCAAGTTACTTATTATATCAAGTCATTCAAATCATTTTCCTTACCATGTGAATGTTCATAATGGGCTAAGGTGCTTGTCCACTGCATTACAAGTCCTACAATGGGAGGGATATCCCTTGGATGCTTTGCCGAGTAAAGTTCCACTCAATGAACTTGTTGATCTCAAAATGCAACTTAGTCAACTCAAACAACTATGGAAAGGAACACAGATAATTATGGTTCTTCCATTAAAACTAATGATCCAAAATTTAATGCAATTATCCTTGCAATTTTTTGAAAATTTATTGTTTAATTTCCTTTACTTTTGTTGTCTTTTCAGGTTTTGAGAAAGCTTCATGTAATGACCTAGAAATTTAAGTTAAAATTAATAATAAAGCATTCTATTAAATTTTAGAGTGAATATGTAATGACCCTAAAATTTAAAAAATAATAATAATAAATAAATAAAATTAAAAAAATTCTCTCAATTTATATTTTATTTAAATTAATTTTATAGTCAGTAAAGAGTGATAATTTAGAGAAACTCATGTTAATTTGTTTTTAAAGTTTCAAAATTTTTTGAGCAGAAGTTTGATTTTACCTCATTTTCAATTATAGGAAAACTGTGTCGTTTGTTGTAATTTTTTCTTGTGTCATTTTTTATAGTTTTCTCAATTATTTCTTTGTTCAGAATTCTATATCTCTCCCGTCCGAAACGGAGCATTCGGAAAAATCTCCTTTCCTTTCTCTTCACCGACTTAAAAAAAAGAAACCCAGAGGAGAAGGAAGCTCTGAACGCAGAGCTCTGCCACCTCCATCTTCTTCTTCCTTCTCTGCTGTTCAGTTCACAGACATAAGGGCCATGAACGCTGTGATCTGTTGCTGCTGTTTGTGGTCCAAGTTGTGAGTTGTTCCCAGCTTTATCGTCCATTTGAGTCTCCCTCTCCGCTGTCGGTGCTGTCAAACATTCCTCCTCCTCCTTCATTCTGTTCATTTGTGTGTGGTAAACACGTGAGGAGTTAGGCTGCTGTTATGGGAGGTTCGATTGTGAATTTCTCATCCCTGTTCAAGTGGTTAACTCCTTCCTTCTCCCTTGTTTCTGTTGGTGCTGTTCGCAAGAGTTGAAGGAGCTTTGATGATCTCCTTCCTTCGTTCTCTGTAGGATTTCTTGGCGAGTTTGATTTATCTCTTTTTCTCCTTGCAGCAGCGAGCTCATGTTGAATGGGTTGGTGTGAAATTGATTTTTTTCCTCTATTAAAATGTGATGCGTGGATGGGATATAACTAGGGGTTTAAACAAGCTGAGATAAATTATAAAAGAATATGTTTCTCCCCTCTATTTGAGCTTGAATTTGCTTAAAACTTAATTGATTCTTGGTGGAGCTCCTCTTTTCTATCACGGATTTTGTGTGTGGGTGTGTTAATTGGTTGAAGTTGCTTATTTCTTCTTTATTATTGTTGCTGTGCGTGTTTAGGGGTGAAGTAAATGGGGTTTGATCAAGTTGAAGATTAAATTTAAAAGTATATTTCTTGATTCATAATCTCACTTACATATATTTTAGTTACTATATGGTGAAGAAATCAATTTTATTTTTCCTTGACCTTAATTGATCTGTGTGGAAGGAGTGAAATTAGACAAGTTTGGTAAATTAAAATTTGACATTGGGAATTGTAGGGAAAAAAAAAGAGCTTTAAAGAATAAAATGTTGCTGTATGGTTCGATTATCAATATACACAATGTGTTTAATGAAATGTCATGGTAGAAGTTGCCTGTTTTCTATCAAAAGACCTGGTGACTTTGAATATTTTTATATAAATATCCTAGAGACTTGAAATTTTATTGTGAATGGTTTAAGTTGAGAATTTTTTTTTCTATTCCTGTAAATTAACTTGGATTGAAAATTTTAAATTTGTAAAAATGAATAAAAGAAATAACAATGATATCACTTGGGGTATTAGGGGATTAAGAAGCGGACAATATCACAAAAGTAGCTGATTATAAGTACACTTTGTATTTGAAAGTATCTCAGGTAAGTAAATAGCATCCTAAATGACTTACTTATAAATTTATTTCTTCCAAAATAACGTTTAAGCATATCCATGATCATTTTATTATTATAAATTAAGTTTTGCCATTGGTTATTATGAAAAAAAAAATTGCTTCTACTATATTGAGTTTTGAAAGAAGAGTTAAAATTCTTTTATGATTGGGTATCTACTATTATTTATTATATTGAAAGTGTTTTATTTAAGTTGGGGATTGAATCAAAATGTTGGTTGTTAACAGCAATTTCGTTAGCCTTTAGCCCGCTATGATACACCTAACTAGTAAGATACTTGCAGGAGGTGCTAGCCCCGTGCACAGGCCAATGCACGTGGAAGGACGGGATGGATATTCATGAGCATCATATTCATGCTTGTTTTATAGGTTTTATGCTTGCGTTTGTTTCGTGGCTTTTAGCCACACTTATTAGTTATTTACTCTCGTGGACTATGTGTCCACGTTTATTTACTGTCATAGATTGTGTGTCCACGCTTGTTAGTCGTTCTGATCAAGTCCTTCAAAAGAAACATTTTGAAATTATTGTTTTTAACTAATCCTTTTAAACAAGATGGTTTTTATGAATAGATTTCTTTACAATGAATGATGCATCTTCTAGTTGTTTGATTCGGGCATGATAATTAGGATGTGGATTACTGTGTTATTATCATATGGGAATATTTTTGGATAAAGTATTTGAATGGAATAATTTGATTTGAGTTACGCAACCCTTCTATTCTAAATGATTTATTATATTTTTATTTAAACTGATTCCTACTTCATTCATATTTCTTTCTTTTACTTCTCTTAAAATTTAAATCTGGGATGTTATTCACTGAAAAATATTTTGGTTTCAAATAGGATTTTTGAACTTATAGCTCTAGTTAGTTATTGAGAGGCTTTTCTAATGTATTGAAATGAAAAAATTATTTCAAGCAAATCTCAACTTGATTGGGTCTTCGGTATTCCACATGTACTATAGGTAGGATCCTTGTCTTTCTTATGAGATTGTATATCTGTTGGTTAGGAGTAGAACTCCTTTTGTTAGGTCGCTGTTGTTCTCTATTGCTATAAGATTTTGGAAAATCTTACTTGTAGGTGAGGTATTGCTAGGACTTTCTACAGAAAGTTACAAATCTTGTTGCATGAAAAGTATTAAAAATAAAATCCTATTGCAATGTCAAATATGTTTACGGTATAAAATGTGAGTTTTTTAAATTAAGGCTTAAGAGATATGGGTTTTATATGTACATCCCGTGCCAGTTACACCTGATTTTTTTAGGATGCGACACTTCAATTCATTGATTTAAGCAACTCAAGATACTTAATCAAAACACCAAATTTCAATGATATCCTTGATCTTCAAAAGCTCTTACTTGATGGTTGTATCAACCTTGTTGAAGTACATCCCTTTCTTGCACACCATAAGAACCTTGTTATGGTTAACTTGAAGGATTGCAAGAGTATTAAGACTCTACCAAGTAAGTTTGAGATGAGATCCTTGGAAACTTTAATACTCTCTAGTTGTTCCAAGATTAAATAGCTTCTAGATTTTGGGAAAATGATGACATGCCTTTCAACGCTTGATTTAGAAGAGACTGTAATAGCAAAACTGCCTCAGTCAATTGTTAATTTGGGTAGTCTTGCTATTTTAAATCTACAGAATTGCAAAAATGGTGCGAGCCTTCCAGATGTGTTTCAATATTTGAAGTTGATTAGAATTCTCAATTTTCTGGTTGCTCTAAACTCTTAAGGCTTTCAAAGAAATTGCATGAAAATGTGGCCCTTGAAGAACTTGATGCAAGTGGAATTGCTATAATAGAAGTACCTTCATATGTCTTTCATTTGAAACATATAAGAAAACTATATTTTCAAGGATGCAACAGACAAACACAATCTTCTTCATGGAATTTTCTCTCTCACTTCAAAATGGTGTTTAGGCTTATAAGGCCTTCAAGTGCTACCCTCATTTTCATCATTAAGTTTATCCTCTCTAAAGAAGCTAGATTTATCCTCTATTTGGATAGGAAGAAAAGTTGAAAGGAAAGAAAATGAGAGGAAAGAAAATGGAGAGAAGAGAAAACTGGAAAGAAACTATTATCACTCATTCTGTTTGGATGGACAGGAGAAAATAGGGAAGAAAGAAAAAGAACAGATATTATAATAACTATAATGCCCTTATATCAAAATATATCATGTTTCATGTAATTATATTTGTGAAAATAAATTGAAAGCAGAAATTATATTAAAATTAACATAATCAAATTAATTTAAAATCAAATTATTTGTTAAAAATATATTTTATATTATATTTTAAAATAAAATAATTAAAATTAAATTAATGTAATTTTAGACACTTGATCTAGCCAATGGCTAAATTATTTAATTAAATAGTTAAATT